GCATAAAGCGGTACGTAAATGGAGATTATAAGGGAACAGAAGGAAAAAGTTAAACAGAGCGAAAAGAAAGGGAAAAACGAAATATCCACCGGCCTGACTGAAGCAGAAAAAGCGGCAATGATAGAGTGGAGCAGAGTGGGGGGTGGAAGGGGGACTAAGGCAGAGTGACAGACAAAAGAGGAGGACGAAGAAAAAGTGGATAAGAGGAACGACTGCGCAAGGGAAACCGTTTTCTCTAAAGTGATTGAAAGCACACACGGACAAGAAATATGAATGATGAGAAACTAGAACAGGAAACAGGAAGTGTGTTCTGCACGGGATAATGAAAGTGTAAGCCGCGCAATCGGTATCGATATGAACGTGTGCTCGTTAACCGGGAAATGCGCGCCATTTTTGCGAATACCACCGAACTCATTTCGCGTTCTCGTTTCGTTCAACTTTTTCTCCAACAATTTTATCCCTTTAAATGAAACTGCAAAATTTAAAAAAAATCAAAAAAAAAAGAAATGACACATTAAAGTTTATATTTATACACGCTATTAACAACGGTGCACGTTTAAACTTCAACTGCTTCATGAAAATATCGAAACTGGCATAAAAAGTTTGACCCAAATCGAAATAAAATTTCCGGAGAGAAGTTACGAAAATAAAATAAAAAAAAATTCCACGCTGCATCCGTGAGCATCCGATGGTACGATACACATTAACCTTCTCAAAACACATGCTATCCCTCCCTCCTCCCCCTCTCTTCATCTTTCGTCGCTCTGCACCTGCCGGAACGATAATTGGGGGAAGAACCGCGTTCGAGTCGTCTTATGCGAAAAAAGAAGCAATACCAGCCGGGCAGGCACCGCCGCCTTTCTCAGAACGTCTCGAGAACGAACGACAATCGAATTGCTCGAGAGCAACGAGAGATATCCGTCTCGATTCCGTAGCAATAAGTTGCCGTGCTCTCGACATCTGCAACGAAAGACGTTGCGCGAGGCGATCGTGCTTCTTGTCGAGAGCTACGTGAAGCACGATGCCAGTAGAGTGGGGGGACGTCGGGCAGCTGGTGGGGGGTGGGGAATACCATGCTCACAGCGATGGGGAGAGGCTCGTATCGAAATGTGAAATATCGATATTGTTCAGCTATACGTTCGGTAACCTTTATTGAAATAAAACCATGGGAATATCGGCATAGTATTTCATCGATTGTATATATATTTATCTCTATATATCGAGAAATATTATTGTACTATAATTGATCGATGTTTCAACGCAACGTAGGTTTTAACTTTCCCATTTAATTCTTTCCTTCGGTGTTTTTATACTTTTTAGCGATGTGAAAAGGTACAGATCTTTCACTTTCGTACATTCTGGGAATTATAATATTTTAAATACTATAAAACAGCAATGTATAGTGTTTCTTCTTGCTAATACATTTCTTCTAGAAATAAACGAATATTATTCGACAGTAAAATAGCTGTTCAGAGAAAGAGCACTTTCGAATTTCGCAACCATTCAAGGATCAGGAGGAACGCGGAACGGTATAACGGCATTTGATGGTCCTCGAGTGGAAATGTATCGAGTGCCTAACTTCAGGCACCGTTCGAAGCGACTCGAAGTGTCTTGAGTCCATCGCTAGTTAGCGGTCTGACGTTTCGAGCCCGTTAAAGCCCACACGTTGCCCCAGGCGCATTATACGAAAGCCTTTGTGCATTGTTTGAGCTTTCCCGGCCATTGTGCTTTCCAGTTACACACAGCTTGGATTCCCGTGCACTCGTGGCATCCAGCTGCGTTTCTCTTCGTCCTTTTCCTCCTCGTTTCTCATCCCCGGCTCTTTCTCTCTCTCCTCTGTCCTGTCTCTTCTCCGATACACCTTCCTCCACCTTCTCCTCACTCCTCCACCATCTACTTCGCTGTTACGAAGAACCGTACGATTCACTTCCCGATGCAGAAGCTTTTGCCGGTTTTCGGACAGCCGTTTGGACGGGACAAGAAACCAGGAACAATCTGCCGGAAGAGAATACACCAAGGACTGTCTCATGGTGTTTGGAATCGTTACTCTTTCGACCAGATCACCGTGACTTTGCTTTCGTTGAACGTTCGTACGGATTTCGTCGGAGAAATGGCGTCTCAAGGGACGTTCTTTCGATCCCAAGACTTTATTTTCAAGATACACTTCCGTGATAAAAACAGATTGCAGATAAATTCGAGAAATAACTATAATTAGTCATATATATATATATGTTATCTGAATCTTAGTGTTTAGGTATATTTAAGTTCACGCGATCCTAACACTTTATTTTCAAGATACACTTCCGCGACAAAAATAGATTGTAGATAAATTAGGGAAATAACTGCAATTAGTCATATATATGTTATCTGAATCTTAGTATTTATATAGATATACTTAAGTTCTCTCGATCCCAAGACTTTATTTTCAAGATACATTTCCATGATAAAAACAGATTGCAGATAAATTAGAGAAATAATTACAATTAGTTATATATGCGCTATCTGAATCTTGCTATTTAGGTGTATTTAAGTTCTCTCGATCTCAATACTTCATTTCCAAGATACACTTCCAGGATAAAAATATATTGCAGATGAATTAGGGAAACAAATATAATTAAGTCGTAATTGTACTATCCGAATTTTACTATTTCCGTATATTTAAGTGAGAAATAGTGTTTGGAAGAGTATTCTCGTAAAAAGTGACGGCTATAGGGAATAAACACGTTCATGTGTCGGCCACTTTCGACGTAGTCACAACAATGGACACATTCGATCGTCTCGAAACGGTTCTCATGGGACGATCTCGGAGGAACAGTGCAACAGGACACGTCGGTATCCTCCTCGGTCGAATAGCACGGGAGCGCAAGGTGATTCACTCTCGTAGGCGCACGTGTACGATGCAATCGATAAAACGAGGAGAGAGAGAGAGAGAGAGAGAGAGAGAGAGAGAGAGAGAGAGAGAGAGAGAGAGAGAGGCGAAATGGTAAAGAAAAAGAGGAGGAATTGAAACGTTCGATGGCTCGAAGAACTTGAACACCGTGTGTAATTTTACCTTTGCTCGAAACGCCGCGCGCTTCCATTAATTAGCGCAACTCGAGGAAACATTTTATACGAGAAGTTCTGGGGTGTTTTAAAATTGAACGAGAAACGTAACATGTTTCCACTGGTTAGTAGTATTAATACGCGGTAATTAATTCCACGTAAAAAATAAAACACGTACAGAAACGCGAAGGGGGATTAATAAAATTCACTGAGCTCGATGTTTTTTCATGAATATTTTCGTGCGCCGCGCGCGTTTCCGGAATGCGATTTTCGGGATCAAGGGGGCTTTTTCAAACGTGATTTAAAACGATCACTGTAATTAGTACGCTAACTAGCTGGCCGTGGATTTAAAGTTTAACAATTTTTCTCTGCAAATGAAAAATTGTACCAGACAATTCGACGAAATGAAATTAGCAATTCTCTATTGTGACATTTTGTCGAGGTGAAGCAATTCGTCGAATTTAACGCGTTCGCAGCTGCTGACTTAGTATTACGTCTTTTTATTTATCACGTGTAGTATCACGTCTTTTCGTGTCTTAAGCTCACACTAACCAAAGTAAGTTTCGACAGAGTTGAAATTAGGTTTAACCTGAAGATCACACAACGTTTACGTATCCTTTACGAAAAAATTTCTGAAATTAATTAAACAAATACGTTTACATATTTCAGGCGCGAAATTTGAAAAAATTAAAAGAATTGTCCTCGATTTCAAACACGATATTTATACAATAGCTGCAAACGTTACATTTCCATGCAAATTCTACACCTTTTATTCTTATTTTAACGACCGAACTCTGCGGTAAAATCAGCTATAGCTTGAACTTTATCGTACTCGATTTCCAATGTTACAATGGCGAAAAAGGAGAAATTCGCAACTGCGAAAGTGTTAATAAAAGTTGCGTTACCGATCAATTGCACGACTCGAGGAATGGGCCAAAAGGCACAGAACGTGTTGATACATCGAAAATGGGCGAAAAACTCAGCCAAACAGTTTCCATTCGCTCGACGAACGCGGCCAACACGCTTGCATCCTCCTCGATGAACGTTCAGTTGGCCAAGCACTGCCAAAAGAATCTGTCGTTCCTCCGGGAAAACGCGATCCAGGGACATTTTTACTGGGAATCAACGTGGAAACGCTTTGTACGCCGGCCAAAACGGAATCGAACCGGAATTGCTTTCGGATATCGATTTAACTAGGATCCAGAGAACCAAGCTGGATTAGTATCGCGACCCTGTTAACCGCACGGCACACGATTTATTCCGCTGACCCAGCTGAAAAGCTTATCCCTGCCGCGTGCACAACGATTCACGCGTTGCTGACAGTTGTCAAAAATTACAAAATCCTCGCGGAATTCGGCTTTTTTACGTCGAACGCTCCCCAACCGAACGAATTCTGCTGAGCTGCTCGGAAATTTGACGAAGGTTAATTGAAGATAGATAACGTAAATGTCGGTTTATAGAAATGTCTGTGATTTTACGTCATTTTATCTTTATAGACAGGCAGATGATTATCATTTTAAAATTGATTTGGAAATGAACGTTTGAGCGGAGTTAAAAGTAACTTCGATCTGAAAATTAAATAAATTCGTTGACGTGTTTCTCAATATAAAATACAAAAAGGTTAAAAAAATTTAACGAATTTTAAAAAGTTTTCATTTTAATATTTCCATATTTATCAATTTGGAAGTATTCTATTCAAATTTCTAACCTGCAAATTTCTTTCAACTTAAAAAAACAAGCGGTTACAAGTATCACGTTACGAAGCAATAATTGTTATTTTCATTCACACTTTATAATTGCACAGCTGCCCGTTTTATAGGTCACGAGCTAGAATCGCCAGGTGCAAAAGTGTCACGAATATTTCGCGATGTTACGTTTGTATTTTAAGAGTATCCACCTGTGTTAAGTTCAACAGAGGTGTTCGATAGGAAACGAAAATGGAGAAGAAGGATACTAACCTCGAGATAAATTTCGGAATGTGGATTGAAGGTGTTGTTGACCGAGTGAAGAGAGACGTTGAGGTGCGGCAGGCTGTGGAAGACCCTAGCGAGCTGCGGTACCGTGTACTGTTCGGGAAGCTGCTGACCGCCCGCCATTTTGGAGAACCCTTGTCTGCCGAAAACCCCGTTGAAGAGCCCCTCCTACTCGTCAAGACATGCTACAAGCCCTGTAACAGTAACAAGTCAACGGCTTAATAATTGCTTCCGGCATTTTCCTCCTCGAGATTTCGCGACTTCCTCGTGTATACACATATGTACTGCGCAGACGAATGTACTGTTCGCAACTAGTAAGTTGGCAGACGGAAGGAATGCTGGTCTCATTGGCTGTGGTGGGCACATTTTCATTATTTGCCAAAATGGTCAAAGGTGGAGTTCTTGTGCCGCCCCGACTGCCAATTTATCAGCAGCGAACAGTAGTGTGTAGAACTTAGGAGTTTGCCCCTGGAAGTAATGCAACCCCATAAGCCCATCTTCTCTAACGCAATCGTAGAAATAGAGCACACGTATTGTGATTATTCGGCGATAAAATGGACGAATCAAATCGTATAGCACAGCGTAGCGAAAGATTCGAGAGGAGCGAGTGAAATTCCCCTCGTTTGCCCTGTGCCGCCCCGGAAGCAAACCCCTGAGCACCGCAGAGTACTCATATTTTCGTTCATGCGGGCTTGCCTATTAACAATTCTATCGTGAAATATACAAAGTGAAACGGAAAAATTCATATTCGAGCTGATATCAAATTCACCAATCAAACACACGGAAAATTCATCGCTAAAATAACACACCGAGGAAATGTAGAAAGGCGATCGATATCCCCCGGAACGAAGAATCAAAGGGGGAACATTTCCAACACCCGTGGTGGAAAACACTGTTCCAGAAATGGATCTGGCTCGGTTAGAAGAAAGGAACCGTGGATAATCGTGTTATATTTAGCACAGACCGATTATCCGATTTGGCGTGCAATTAAACCAGCGATCATCGCCACCAGGTAAAAAGGGGAGAGAGAGACCCAATTCGAGAATCTGGATAGCGGCGTTTAGTTTCGAATCGAATCGGCTAGTCGAACAAGCCTCTCGACGTAGTTTAATCTTTGTTAGATACGTCGACGTCGCCCGATCATGTCCTCTCTTAATCCCCCTCCCCTCTGTCCCTCTCACTTTGTCTGTCTCTCCAACGAAACGCTTTGCCCGGCTTGATTCAATTACGCTCGAAGCGCCGTTGTGGAAGCAACGAGCGCTTAATTAATGAAATCTGTGCCAGCTGCTCCGTTCCGCTTCTCGTCCACGACGATACCCGCCGACGAGGACACGTGCCTCTTCCGGAAGTATCTTCAGATTCTTTTTAGCGAATTATTATCCCCGCTCTGTCACGTGTACACGTGTATTTCAACGCGACACCACCACGTGCGAGCCTTATCAGCCATTAGCTCACACGTTCGCCGACGTCGTCGAAGCACTGTCGACGCGGAGTCACTTGCCACGTGTGCCACTGTCGACACAGTGTCGACAGTGTGTCGATTGGTTATCGTCGCGATATCACACAGTTGACCCGTGTGCCACTGTCGACACACTGTCGACAGGGACCCGTGTGCCATTGTCGACACACTGTCGACAGCGTATCATCGTCAGATTGTCACCACGAAAATGGTGGTACATTCTTTTTCTTATAAGAAGCGAAGCGTTGTGCTGCGAGATGTAAACGGGTTTCAGCTTCGTTCACGAAAATACTCGTGAAAATTACGTGTCTTTCGATTTTCTGGCTATAGCGGACGTGTTAATTCTACGGTCGATTTGCCTACGTTACTCTCCCTGATCGCGGGTTATTTGTTTCAGCTGCTTATAGTTGAGTTAAGGCTGTCGACCCCATGAAATCAACATCGACGTATCCACGTTATACACTATACGCGCGTGTGTAGTTTAAATATAAATGCGCTCGCTTATCTGTAATGGCACAGCATCGACACTCTTCCGTATCGCCTCGATAATGGGCGAGATTCTCGACATGAACGTTTCGCCGATCAACCGACGATCGTATACCGATTACACGCCGCTCGTACGATGATGGATAACGAAAAATGAACAGAGTTGACTCGCATCGATGCGTGGACAACTGGACGTTGCTGTTCCGCTAAGTGAGCGATAGCCTTTAATACGTCGACGTTGGCCTGGTAACGTTCATGTGACCGCAGCCTTTATTATTCGCGTCGTCGAATTTTTCCCTGGCTCGTAAAATTACCGCTTATTCACTGGCATTACTTCGAACCGCAACCGATATTCGTCGAATTTCTTTCCGATAGGCGATACTGCAGTCTACTTCGATTGATAACAGGATTAACCCTTTCGTTCCTATTGTGCCTATCCACCTTAACTTCATCCCTCGAGCACTTCCATCTCAATTTTTTTTAACAGAAATTTTAAAACGACGCGTCCAAAATATAAGATTTCGCGGTTGTGTTTGAGCGAAAGGGTTAACATTTCGAATTTTCTCCTAAAACAGATGCGAGGAATTTTTTTCGTCGCGTACAAGGAACGAGGTAAAATTCAAGGGAGCGAAATTCGCCGCTCAGGAACAGCAACACAGACGAAATCTTTGATTAGATAGCCTGTCGTCCGGCGTGCAGCACTCTCTCGATTTACATAACCGCCACACAGCTTCTATTCCTCCATTCCACCCCTCTTTCGACGACCACACCCATGCACAACCCCTTTATGCCTGTCGATTTTGACCAGCGGACTCCGAAATACAATTTTCCCCCCTGGGGGGGCCAGCGGCGCACAGTTGCGAATTTTGCAATTGAGATGAGCGTCGTTCGGGAACAAACGAACCCGGCTTCTTCACGTTCTACCAAAGACACACCGTTGAACGTGTTCCTCTAGGATAGATTCGGTATCGAGACTGGTGAACAGAATATTAACGCGTCCACAGCCGTAGAAAATTGATGGTTTCCGGTGGAATCTTAGATACAGGTCAACCGGCTGCGCTCGAACCTTTTAGCCGCACGACACATCTCGTCGATTGCGCTCTTCCTAGTTGCATCTCCTCTTCCCTTTCCTCGTTCCAACGGAATGTAACACGGGATATGATCGTTTAAAATAGAGAAAATCCTCGTGTGAACATATGCATCTCAAACTAGTCTGGGAAAACACGTCGTGTTCGAGCTATCGCGAGAGGAGATTAGAAGATGTTTGAAGTTCTATCAGAACTGCTATTTGATATCCCCGTCGAGACGTAAACCGATCGGATTAATCTGGATCTATGCAGTCGTTGATTGTGCTTGACTCTTCCTACTTTCACCGTCTTCCTTTTTGGATGATAAACAGGTGAATATCTAATATCTGCGATGGACTAAATTTTTGCTTCTAACTAAAATGTGAGTAACATATTCAAGTGGCCAAGTATAGATTTCTCGTTGATTTTAAACGATTAAAATTGTAACTACTGATATCTTCAACGATAAAATGTTAAGAAAAGTGTGGCAAGTGAAAACTTTTCAATTTTCATTTTCTTGCCTGGAATGTCTTTCAGTACCGTCAGAAGAAACGGCGGAAGTTGATCTAGAATTCTTCGTAACTTAATTACGTTAAGTAATTCAGCCATTTCTTCTTAATTACTTAACGTAACTAAGTTACTTTCTTGTCGCTCTCTTGAAAAATTTCACGTTTTCAACTCGTGACAGTTTTCTCGCAGAGGTGCGATGTACTCTCTCAAAAACTACTCTTACAGTTGGCCAATTTTTGCACTTTGCTAAGTGAACAAAGGTGCGAAAGGTGTTACACCAGGAACTTTGAAGTGTTTCAGAAAAATATAGATCTCTGCGGTGTGAAGTGAAAATTAGAATAATCCAAGATGAAGATTAACAGTCCTCTGGCGACATAATTTCCAAGGGGAAAAAGAATCTCGGCGAGTGAAAAATTTCGTGGAAAGCATGTAACGAGAGGCGTCCTATCGTGTGTGACCGCCAAAATGGCCAGGAACGAGCTTCACTTTGCATTCCACGGCGGGGCTCTTTGTCGTCGTCGGAATTATAAACGGCGGACCGCAGAGGCGCAGGCATCTTAAACAAAACCGGGGAAAAAATGGACGGAGGTGGAGCAGAGGGAAGTTAGGTCCATTCTTGAACTTCCTCGCCTCCGCGAACACCGTGGGAAAAGATCAGCTGCCCCCTGTGTCGGCTTTAAACAGCATTACACCTGGTCCGTTCTTCTCTTGACACAATGTCCACAGTTCAGAAAACCGTTTCGACCCGGGTTTCGTGTCTCGTTTCTCTCGTATTCTTCGAGATGTTTCACACTTGTTAGATTGTTCCGGGTAAGGGCGAAAATTTGGAATTTTTCGGAGTATCTTATTTCTTAGTTAGATAAACAGACAGACTTAACATATTCAGGACGATGCGACGGTGTGCATTTGTCGACGTGACCCACCGTGGGTCATTCCTGCATGAGTGACAAAGTTTGAATAGACTGAGTGACCCACCGTGGGTCACCGAGTGATGTTCTTATTCCCGACGTGACCCACGCATGGTACATTCCAACATGGATGACAAAAAAGATCGAACGGACAGAGTGACCCACCATGGGTCACCAAATGATGTTCTTATTCTCGACGTGACCCACGCATGGTACATTCCAACATGGATGACAAAAAAGATCGAACGGACAGAGTGACCCACCATGGGTCACCAAATGATGTTCTTATTCCCGATGTGACCCACAATGGGTCATCTCGGCATGGATGACAAAAAGATCGAATAGGCAGCGTGACCCACCATGGGTCACCGAATGTGTTCTTATTCTCAACGTGACCCACTATGGTACATTCCAAGATGGATGACAAAAAAGATCGAATGGACTGAGTGACCCACGTTGGGTCACGCAGCACGAGCGACGAAAAAGATCGAATAGAGTGACCCACCGTGAGTCATCGACTTGACCCAACGATGGGTCATCACAGCATAGATAACAAAAGAGACTGAACGAATATACGACGTGACCCACCGCGTGAGAAATGAAGTCTTAACGATAATAAATACTTGGGGAAAATATAATAGAAACTTCCGGTAATAATAAACGCCGGTAATGCCGAGCGTTTCATGAATTTCCCCGCCGTCCTGAACGTGTTAAAGATTGTAAAATATTACGGTTCGAGAGATAGACGGTGGATGAAGCAATAA